CAAAGTTCTCAGGCTCGGTCTGGGCGCTCGGCCGGTCGGGAGCAGGAGCGGGTTCCCTGGCCTTTAAATGCTCCTTGTTGCTTCGTTAAAAGGGAGAAGGGGAAAAGAGGAGAAAGAAAAAAAAAAATGATTTCCCTGTGCATCGCCCCTTGGCAGGCTCTTGTACAAAATTCAATCTCTATTTTTTATGAGAAGTAAACTGTCTAAATAAATTTTATTAGGGGCAACCAATATATTTTCTGGTAGTTCCCTTTGTTCCACTTCTACGTGTGTGTAACAATCTAAAACCTATTTATTGAGGAAAAATCACTGGATCCGTCATAGAAAATCCTTTTACTTTGAAGTGATTTCTGAAGACATTCTTGTCATTCCGAAGATTTGGGGGCCATTGCGCTAAAGCCTCGCCTTGTTAGGGACTTCAGTTCCCATGATCATGTGGGAAATGCCTTAAATTATCAATAGCAATGGGCCTGACCGGCACTTTCCCGGCTGCCCCAGGAACGTGGGAAGATGACAGGGAATAAAACTCTGGTAAATACATCTCAGGCGCTGCCCAGGTGGATTCAGACATTGGCCAGAACGAGCTGCCGAGAGGGAACCGGGCGCGGGGACGAGCATTTTACATCCAGACGATTGTCGTTTTCCTCGCCACGCCTGCTGGCAGCCGGCTCCTGACATCCGGCTCCAGCTCCAGCTTGCATGCTCCCCACCTCGACGCCCCTACACCACCCCGTCACCCCCTCCCACTCTCAGATTTCCCTTTCTTTTTTTTTTTTTTCTTTCCTTTATCCACCCCCCCCAAGATGCTTATGCTCTGAAGTCTTGGAAGAAATGATTTAGTTTGTTTATACTGCTATAAAAATCAAGACCAATAGAAAAGTCATAAAATGAAGCGGGCTATCAATCACGCCGCAACATTGTTATTCAGTGGTTACTAACAGAGATGGATAATCCTTTGATTTCGTCCCATTGTTATTACTCTGATGTGTCCTCACATTAACTATTACACATTTATTTATCGACCTGAAAGATACAACAAAACAGAATATACGAGCGGGTGCGTGTGGGAGGACGCTGCACGGCCCGCGGCTGTTCTGGGAGTGGCTGTGGGAGGAGGACAAGAGCGTCTGTGTGCACACAGGAGTGGACTCGGGGCCCCGCGCCCTTCTTCTCTCCCCACGTCGCGGCCTCTCCTCCCTCCCTCCAGACACGGTGCACCGCCAAGGCAAAACGGGCCTCCAAGGACTTGCCTGTTTGGAGGAGCAGGGTCAGCTCCCAGGCCCCCTCTCTCTTGCTCTGACACTTCTGCCCACCTCTGCCCCTGCGTTCCGGTCTTGGACCCCCTGCAAGTCCCTCCCAGGTGGACACAACCCCCTGCGAATCCCCGGGAATGTGCAGCCAGGTGCGCACTTGGGAGCCACGTCCAGGGCGCACGCAGCCCCGCCCCAGGCCGCAGTCTGGCCTCTCGCTGCGAGCGCCTGGCGCCGTCGCTTCTGACTTGGGGTTTTGTTTGGGGAAGGGGAAGGTTTTACAGGAGGGACTGTATTTGCTTTAGGTTAGGTATGCTACTTCCAACCAAGCCTTTCTCTAAAGGACAGTAGGCGTCTGCGGAACACCCTGGTGGCTTCCGAGCGTGCCGCTGCCACCCGGGCTCCGCCGAGCTGCTGCCCGCATTCCTGGCGCCCCAGCCCCACACAGGCCGTGTTGGCATCAGTTGCGGCGGCCGCTGAAGCTCGGCCAGGCTCAGAGCTTCCGGGGAAGCGGTCTCCGCAGCTTGGGAGGAACCGATGTGGCTGATGCCCGGCATTCACGCGTGTGTGCATGTGTGTGCGCGCGCACGTGTGTGTGCATGGGAGGAGGGGAGCAGGCTGCAGGAGAGAAGGAGGAGGAAGCAAAACTGCCCCAGAGTTCGCCTTGCTGCCTCCTTTGTCTCCTTGCTCGGTCCCTGTCACGCATACAGCTAAGGACACACACACACACACACACACACCCATTCCTCTCGCATCTGCTCTCAGGCAGCATTTCCAATGTTTTGTGTAAGTCAATTGGACGGCGAACAAAAAAAGCCATTTGCTCGGTATTATTTAAAACAGACTTCATAGGACCACCCTTTTGTGGAAGCTTTATTTGCACTAAATGAATAATCTTAATTGCATCACTCTCGAATTAAAAATCAATGTTAATCAAGATGAGAGTAGTAAATATCAGTTTTCATTGTGCCTGGGAAGAGGGCATTTTTCTTGTGTTGCAAATAAAAATACAAGTCAAATAACTTTAAAAGGGCATTATGTTCTGCTACAAATACAATTGAAACGGATTGTTTAGGAGCAGATCAGAAATGGTACAGAATTTTGCACTTAATTTCCTCAGTTATCATTTACAATAAGAACCTCTGGGCTTGACAGCCAAGTCTAAACAGTAGTAAATTAGTACAAATTTATACTGATTTTACTCTAATAATCGTAATAAAAGCTTATAGATTTGGCACTAATTACATAAATGCCTAATGATCTTGAAAATTACTCTGGTTAGAAATATATTACTAATCTAAACTTTGTTGTTGGCTGGCTCTGAAAAATCAGAACATTAGAGATGGTTCGCTTCACTTGTGCAAAGCACTTTAAATTGTTCAAGTAGTTTAACATATTCAAGAAGAAAATAAAGAGCATTTAACTTTATTTACAGCCATAAGTGGAATTGGGAACCGAGCTGAACTTAGAAACTTTGACCAAAAGAGCAGGTTATGGGCCAGGATGCAAGCGCGGTGGGCCGGGCGGAGGATCGGGAGCCCGGCGGGAAGGGTGCAGAGGGCGCGAATCGACACTCTACGCGGGACCCTGAAGCTGACTGCGGGCCCTGGAAGCACCGCGGGGGGAGCCGACTCCTTTTTTCCTCTCTAGGCCTGCTGAGGGGGTGGTACTCTTTAGGCGCGAGGTCCCAGCCGGGGCATCTGTACGTACCCTCGGCTCAGGCCTGCTAGGCGGCAGCGAAGTCTAGGCGCAGTCTAGAGGCCGCGCTGGGCCCTGGTTGTGCTGCGTATTGGCAGGCCCGAGCCCGCAGTAGGCCAGTGTTGCCCAGAGCGCGTGGGCGGGAGGGACTCTCGGGTCACGCGGGGGTCAAGCCCTGCTCTGTCCTTTGCACTGCCTCGGGCCCGGGAAGATCCTAGTCTTCGACGACTGAGCTGCCCCTGGGAGCGACGAGGGGCAAGGAAAAGGAAAGGTGTGACTGGAGAAAATCGCGGGGAAGAACCATCGGAGGCCGGGCCGCGAAGCCCGGGGCGAGGCCGAGGCGGCCTCCGCGGCTTTAGCGGCTGCTCGCGGCTGGAGCTGCCAGGGCTGCCGCCACCGCCTCCTCCGGGCGGGCGTGGGCGGGCGGGCGGAGTGGGGGACTCTCCCGGCGCTGACATTTGCAGGCTGCCCTCCTGATTGGTCCCCTCGCCGAGCTGCTCACGGGTTCATTCAACTGTTAAGCACCTCCCCGCCTCTCTAAAGGACATTATAATGCAAGAAGCCCCCTTTTTAACCACAAACCGAATTTTCTTTCATTTAGGTGATCTATATATATCTATATCGTATAGCTTATAGCTTATATCTATTTTAAATAACTTAAAGCCGCTAAAATTTGGGGGGGAACAGCTTTCGCCCTGGAGCGGTGCGCGATGCTGTCTCACGCCGACCTCCTGGACGCCAGGCTAGGTGAGTGCGCGCCTCTCGCCCGGGCAGCCAGGAGAAGCCGGGGCAGGAAATTGTCAATTTGTTCCTTATTTTACCTTAATGCGCCCTAAACGGACTAATTTCTTTAAAAGTAATTGTGCTGTATTAAAGTTTAATTTGATTTAACATCGTCTTTAAAAAAAAAAAAATCTATGGAATATGTAGATCCAAAAAAGGACTAGGGAAATGTTACTTTTTGTTTTTCCTTTTTTCCCCCTTCCTCCCTCTCCCTTATTATTATTAATTTTTTTTTGAACGGCGATCTATCCTGAGATAATTTGTTAGGAGGTGTTTTTCTTTCTCTCTTTTCCCCTCCTGTTTACTTTGATTTGGGATTTTTTCTTCTCTTTTTTCCTCTCTCTCTCCCCACTACCTCCTTCTCTACCCCTCATTTAAGTATGATTGAACTTGTAAAAATCTGGCATAAACGAGAAGCCGCTGCAATCGAGGCGGATTTTCTAAGTGTGTTCATTGAGAAAGGAGAAAAGCCAAATTCATCCCCACAGGCATCCCCGCCTGCAAGAGACTCGGCATTGCCAATGTCTGAGAGGAACGCGCCTTCAATTTCTCCGGAAAGAAAAGTTGAATTCTCTAAAGTTTGATTCACTGTTCTCCGTATAGAGTTTACTTGAGTTTCCTTAATGCGGTCTGGGTTGCTGGGCTCTGGGTTTCCGGTTTGGGAATCTTTGGTGATGGATGTGACTCCATTTACCAAACACTTTCTCTGATTCGAGGGAGAGGCGGAGCTGATTTGGGTTGATTTCAGAGGGAGGAAGGCTTGGAGAGAATTATTCATCTTCCAGAAGTGAGAGGGAATCGGCTGAGCGCCGGAGGTAGAGTTCGCTAAACTGCCTAAGCGCAGGTGGGGCAGCGGAACCAAGGAATTGCTTAATTTTCTTTCTTTCTTTTCTCCCCCCGCCCCACCCCGCCCCGGTCCGAGGATACGCTTTCGCGTTCCTGCGGCTTACAGGGGTACGGTTCATGAAAGGGACTCGGAGGCACGTTTCTTTGCCGGGACTGGGAGTGTTCACTGCGGGAGATAAGAAAGCATGTGCCGGTTGCTACGGGAGCTGGCTGCCGAGAGAGGGGAAAGGGCCGGGAGATGGTATTCCAACCCGGCCGTCCAAATTCTGGGGAACCCGGCTGAGCATCCCGGGAGTCTCCCCCGTAGGGCGAACGTGGGCGCGGAGGGAGCCGAAGATGGGGCTGAAGGTGGACCGCGCCGTGAGGACAGTCCCTCCTGGCATCGCCAGGAAAGTAGTGACCGCGATCCCCTTGCCTCCTCAGGTATGAAAGATGCCGCCGAGCTTCTGGGCCACCGGGAGGCGGTGAAGTGTAGGCTGGGCGTGGGGGGCTCCGACCCTGGGGGCCATCCGGGGGACCTAGCGCCCAACTCCGACCCAGTCGAGGGAGCCACGCTGCTGCCCGGGGAGGACATCACTACAGTGGGCTCTACGCCGGCCTCGCTGGCGGTGAGCGCAAAGGACCCGGACAAACAGCCGGGGCCCCAAGGCGGCCCGAACCCCAGCCAAGCCGGCCAGCAGCAGGGCCAACAGAAGCAGAAGCGCCACCGGACGCGCTTCACGCCCGCGCAGCTCAACGAGTTGGAGAGGAGCTTCGCGAAGACTCACTACCCCGACATCTTTATGCGCGAGGAGCTGGCGCTGCGTATCGGGCTGACCGAGTCGCGAGTGCAGGTACGCCGGGCTTGGGCGCGGGGGCAGTAGACAAGGAGGGGCGGGAGGATTTGGGCAAAAGAAGTGGGGTCTTTTCCTTGCCGGGATCCTGGGCTTGCGCTGCGGCTGCCTGTGAGTTCCATGGACAAGCAGGTCCCCCACCTCCCACCAGTATAGCCACATTCCCACAGAAATGCCTCAAAAGCGAAGCCGGCGTTGTTCGACTGTTAGGTGGTCTCATTCGTCTTGACTGAGAAGGGAAGCTCCGCATCTCCCGGCCTCCGCACCTCCCAGCCTCTGCGTCTCCCTGGCGGCTAAGCTGAGCGCGCACCTCCACTCCAGCTCGAGTTATTGACAAGTATTTCATTAGCCCCTAATGAGTTTGTGGAAGGCGTCTGGATAAATGGGGGAATGCAACAATTATACAGAAAACTTGAAAAGGCGGAAAATAAGACATAATGGCACCTTAACAAAAAATCCACACCTCGGGTTCACGGTGTAGCTTTCTATCTCCCTCCCGCCGCTCTCAGGGAAAATACCCCTAGCTTTCATGTTTGCAAAGGTTTTAAATTTTGATGGTCTACCAGTGCGCTGGGGGTGGCTGAAGAGATCCCTTACAGTCTGTGAGCCCTGGTTTTCCCCTAAGGAAACTGGGGAGGGGAGATGAAGGCTTTCTGTTGTAGATATCCGATCTGAAGAAAGGACATTTAGGGCAGGAATGATTGACAGGTAGTAGACGAAATCATTACTGACCCCTTGTTCTCATCCAACCACCCTCCAAGTTGTAAATTATATATAACTTATAAAATCACACCTATAACTTTTCCGAAAATTGGGGAATAAAAATATAAGCCCAGCGAATCTCAGATTTTTTTTTTCGCTTTTTAAAAGAATGAAAAAAATATCTCAGGTATTTTATGGACAAGTGCTGGAGGTGAAATTCCAAGGCGCGCAGTTACTCTTGAGCTATCCAGGGTTCTGAAAACCTTCCTTTCCTGTCTCGGTCGTGGTATTTTCTCTCTGTCATGCTGGGTGTCAACTGTAGCTCTAGGTGCTTTAACAAATTAAGTTTAAAGATCTCAGTTCCTTTACATTTGATCTAAGAAGTAAGAGACAAGGGTGTCCATAATCACAGGGTTGAATATTTCTGTCTTTGTGCGACATTTTAAAGACAGTTTAACCTGGAAAAATAGCATATGCTCTGTTCTAAATAGTCAGCAAATGAATATCATCATTGGGGACTTAAAGTGGTCAGATTAATACAGAAATAATCAAGGTATAATATAGATTAACATTTTAACTGTATAAGTCTGGGTGGTTTAATTAGTGAACTTTGGAAGCCTTGAACCATGGGCCATTGAAATTAAATACCCAGAGTGTTAATTGCATTGTGCAGATATATACTATTCATGCTTTAAAAAATTTTTTTACCTACCTCCTCTTTTTAAATCTGAAGTTGAGTCCAAACCTTAACAGAAATACACAGTTTCAATACTTCCATTACTGTTAACGATAATACTGGCTTGTTAAAATCTTGTAGGTTCAAAGTTCATAAATTTGCTTTTTGTCCCTCAGGAGAAATACTACCTAATATTTTTTGTTTTAAAGAGTAAAATGCTGTTGCTTAACCTAGACATAGTGGTAATTAGCTTAAATTAAAATAGAACTTAGAATCACAAATAAAATATAATTGGACAACTGACTTTATGAAAAAAGAAAATGAGGTCTATTAAACTTTATTAGGTCTTCCAAAGGTTAATGGCAGTGATTCTTTTAATAGAAAAAGTTGTAAATGAAATAAAATACAAACTATGTAATAGAAAGTTATTTTCAAAAAGTACACAAAAGAATAATCAAGAAGAAAAAGACAAAGTACTTTAATTGTTCTAGCATAATGTTGAACAAAAGATAATAGCTTGAGGCTGCTGATCGGAACAATTTAATAGAATGGCAATTTCAATATTTTTAAAAATAATGTTTCATAGTTTAAAAAGTAATCAGATCAACATAACCTTCTTAATTAACACTTCAGAATGATTAACATTATGTAATGTAATGCAAAAATAATTTATGGAAAATGTATTTACTTCACAATTCACTGTACCACTGCTCCTTGACCAAATTCAAATTAAATAGTAATTGGTTTATGTTCTTATATGATGAGTCCTTCATAGTTTTCTTTATAGTTAACAGATTGCCACACATTCTTTTCAGTATGTGGGCCACTGCACTGATTAAAAATGATCTAAACATTTAATTTATTACAATTGTATGTTTTTAAAGATGCTTTTTAATTCTAGACTAACTGATCCAACATACTTGTTTTTATCTATATCTGGTATATATCATACTTTTAAGTATTTATTAAAGCACCTCTACTTACATGGAGGCCAATTCCATGTCTGATATTGCTCCCTTTTTCTGGCTAGTGTAATAAAACCGTTCCTTTTAGAGCATGCCATTATTAGAAACCAATTTCAGAATTATTTATAACCTGGAATGGCTTATTAAGCAGCAATGCGAGAATCATGCAAATTATGCGATCAAATGCAATATAATAAGCATAATCATTAGTCTCTAGCACGGATTAATTAACTTTCAATATTTTATTTACATAAAAACCAAATCAGTGAAATAACTTCTGCACAGTCAGGCTTGCCTTTCAATATTTTATATGAACAAAAATAATGTGCTGTAATTCCATTGACCGTGTCCCCCAGAATGGCCCTGTCACCTGCCACATCTTAATAGGGGGACAAGCTGAGAGTATTTTCTAGTTTTCTAATGGAATGAGAAATTGCATTTTCTTCCTCTCCCAGCACTATTAAAGTGTAATGAATTCGGCCCAGAGTTCACGGCTGGCTGATCGAAATGAACCTGAGATCTCGGCTTTAATACAGCTCCCCAGATTTCCTCCCAAATCTTCACATTAATCATTTGCTGGATTCCAATGAGATCTTCATAAAGCGTTTGCTTCGAGGGGGGGAAAAAAGTAATATTCTCTCTTTCTCCCTCTCTTTCTCTATTTCTGAGCCATTTATAGTTGGGGAATTAAATGGGCTATATATTTTAAAATACATTTACAGTATGTCTATATTACTGTAACAGCAGATATCATGAAAGTGGATTTTTAAATTCCAACCTCCATTAGATTCTCACTGTTGTATTAAGCATTTTCTAAGAAGAGCTGCATTTCAGACTGAGTACAAAGTTGGCCCTTGGTTGCGGTTAATATATTTTCTGGAGTTGTCATCTGTGCATTCTCAAAATCTCCCTTAGGTTTTCCCTGCATTTTAATCCGTCATGCTCTAGTTTTCAAGTGGAAACATTCACATTTTAAAAACATATGCATCATAGCTTGGAACGGAGGTGCTCAGACCCCATGCAGATTTTTTCCCCCAACCCCAGTAAGCCATGAAACATAAAAAATTTTGTAGCCATCATTTGACTACTAACCCTCAAACATAATTGAGCACAATTTTTCGATTATTCCTATAATATTTAGTTCTTTAACAGCTGTTCTTTCCCACCTGTGCCTGAGGTTCAGAAACCTTTCTAGCAGGTGTGTTTTCCACTGAAATTCTATGGGGCAATCCCACCCCCCCTTCTTTCTTTCTGCTGCTTCTCTTCCCACTCCCCCACAGATGTCCGCCACCCTCCTCCCCCACTGCCCATTCCAAACATTCAAACATTTCGGGATTCACTGACACTTCGCAGGATGTTAGGAACCAGTCTTTATAGATACCTTTCAAAATATATCCGGGTGTGGAATGTGAGATGGGACCACTTGGATATAGACACCGTCCCTGTCTAGGGCTTCACCCAGTCTACTTCCCCTCATTCCAGCCTTGGATTGGGAATGCAAAGTGACCTGTGGCCGCAGGTCTCCTCGCTGTGCTTTCCTTGGCTCCTGCGGGTTACTCTCCGCTCGAGGCCACTAACAGCTCAATTCGTGGCTGGCGGCATTGATCCCAGTTACTATCAAGGGCCCCACAGCCTCATTAATCCGTCGTGCCACCAACTCAAGGGGCTTTAGCAAGTAAGGGACCTGGCTTCTTTATACATCCGGAACTTGGGGTAGGCAGAAACATGGCAAATGAGGCAGAAACCAGAGAAAGATAATAGGGTGGGCAATTGCACGAGTAGGGTAGCAGTGCCAGGCCCGACCCAAAGGCGGGCAATAATTCTAGACTGCAATGCCGTTCACACTGTTAAGCGTAGAGTGTCTCCACCTGCACGGGTGTAACACGCCTCTGTGAATAGCTGGCTCACCGACAACGGGTCAGGTACATCCATACTCAGGATCCTTTATCTTGCAGAATAAACACTAAATATTAGCTTGGATTAACAGATGAATAACATTTTGGTCATGAATATGGTCACATTGCGTTTGCCAAATTCTAAGAGGAAACTCCCATCAGTACCTGAGCTGTGTCTCGCATCATTTATATTTATGCACAGTAAACCTCCAACTGACTAGATGTTAAAGTGCAAGCCTGCCACGTAGGCATGCTGCATATTATTATCATCATTTTTAAATATCAAATTCAAATAGAGCCAGACAGGAGGCTACCTTGGTCAGGCAGCTTACTTGACATCTTTCAGAAGAAACTTTCCTTCCCCTGTGGTAGTGAATATGACATTAATAGGCAAATTTGTCTGGTAAGTTCAGAAATTCAGGGTTACTGTGAATAAAGAACGAGTAGAAGGTTTATTTTTATTTGGAGTATATTTTATCAAACACACCTGCTTTAAAAAGATTCGTGGCTATTGGGTCTACGCAAAATTAAATTTGATTCATTACTAGTGTGAGCTTTAAACTTGACCTTTAATTTGTAGTCAGAAAATTTGCTTTCAGTTCATAGATGAAACGGATGAAACGGGGCGGGGGAGGGGGGGAGACTTGAGGAACTGGAGGCCTTGCAGTCTCAGGTCCTCAGTAAGTTCCTGAAAATAGACTGGCAGTCCCAGGGCTCAGGGTTCTGGCAGCAGGTTCCAGCGTATCTGCACAGCTCAGATAAAAGGTGCTCCTAGAGGGGTTTGAGAATGAGGCAAGGAGACTTGTGGCAGTAGCACCAGTCGCTACGAATCACAAGTCACGGTGGCGACCCAAACTACACCGTAGCTCAGTGCCGCCCGCTTTCCCACGTGGATCACTATATTAACCTCTCCGCTCTGTCATCCGTGGCGTTAGAGGTTTTCCTTTGTCTTTCGATTTTGAAACTGGCTATGTCATCCACAGCCTTTTATCAATTTCCAAATTTCCAGCGTTTCTGAAAATTCTATACCCCATCAGTGTTATAAGGACGCTATTAAGCCACATGGGTACACATGTTTATCTTCATTTGTACACCTGTGGGTCCAATTTTGACACATGCCTGCCTGCAGACTTGTGCATCTAAGCTGTGCACAGAATGTGGAGCGTGCAGGGGCGTGGTGAACACTGCACGCGGTTGGTATGTTTGCCCCGAGTGTAAGCTCCGGGGCACCACCACGCAGGACCCCGGAAGTTGGCGCTTGCTGAGTGCAAGGGGCGCCAGTTGTCTCCAGCTGACGTAGAACCGCGGTCTCTGGCTGGCCGTGGGGCGCGTTGGGTCGAAGGCACTTGGTCCACCTGGGGCAGTGCCTGACGCAGGTTTCTCAGGCTCCAGCCCCCGCCCCTCCGGGCCGGCGGGCTTGCTAATAGCGCTCTGTCTCCCGCCCCGCCCGCTCCAGGTCTGGTTCCAGAACCGGCGCGCTAAGTGGAAGAAGCGCAAGAAGACCACCAACGTGTTCCGCGCGCCGGGAACGCTGCTGCCCACGCCAGGCCTGCCTCAGTTTCCGTCAGCCGCCGCCGCCGCCGCCGCCGCCATGGGCGACAGCCTGTGCTCTTTCCACGCCAACGACACCCGCTGGGCGGCGGCCGCCATGCCGGGCGTGTCACAGCTACCGCTGCCGCCGGCTCTGGGCAGGCAGCAAGCCATGGCGCAGTCGCTGTCCCAGTGCAGCCTGGCGGCCGGGCCGCCGCCCAACTCCATGGGCCTGTCCAACAGCCTGGCGGGCTCCAACGGCGCGGGGCTGCAGTCGCATCTTTACCAGCCCGCCTTCCCCGGCATGGTGCCCGCCTCCCTCCCCGGCCCCAGCAACGTCTCCGGCTCGCCCCAGCTCTGCAGCTCCCCGGACAGCAGCGACGTGTGGCGGGGCACGAGCATCGCCTCCCTCCGCCGCAAGGCGCTAGAGCACACAGTCTCCATGAGCTTCACTTAATGCAGCCGCGCCCAGCCCGCTCCGCCCCCGGCGCCGCCCCCAGGGCCGCCCCGAGGTCCTTCGGCGCGCGCCCGGGCCCCCGCTCCCTGCCCGGGCCCCTGCCCCGGCGCCCTGCCCCATCCCCTCCCGGCCTCCGCCACGTCTCGTTTTGTTCTCTCCTCTCTCGTTCGCTCTCTCGGGCTCACCCAAGCCCCATCCCGCGAGGCCTCCCCTCCGCCTGATTTCGCTCGCCCCGGTCCCTTCGCCCCCTCCCGCTCAGCTCCTCTTCCTGTCTCCCCTAATCTTCCCTGGCGCCCTTCTCCCGCGCCTCACCGCGCCCTTTCCAGCTACCCCCGGCCACCCGGCTCGCACGTAGCGTGCTCTAGCCCTCCTCCCAGCCCTCCGACTGGCGGCACTCTCACCTACACCTTCAACACGACGCCTACGACCCCCTCGCCAGCCGCCTCCCCTCCGGTCCCTTCTTTACCCGCACCTCACGCCCCTCCTCCCGCGCCCTGCAAAAAGCATCCTTCCCGCCATTTTACTTACCAGGGAGTCGACTCAGGATCTGAAATCAGACACCAATGGACTGGTTTGTGGGCAGAAACACACACACTCGCAACTCTCGCTCACTCTCAGACACTACATACACTCGCGCACACACACATACACAGTGCACCTAGGTCACACACGGACGTGTTCAAGGGACAGCACAATGTTAGGGATTTTCGTCTTAAAGGAGGACAAGCATCTGCTACAACCGCCTCATCTGAGGGCCCAACTGATATAATTTGATTTGTCCCCGTATTCTTTCTCCGAACTCCTCGTTTTCTTTCCTCTCCCACCACCCTACCCTTGCACCATCCACCCAGTCACATCCATGCAGCCCTCTATTGGCTTGCAAAAGAACACTTTTATTTTATCTTTTATTTTTTTAAGCACAACTGTGTGAGGTTATTGAAGGGAAGCCTTCTCAGGAGGAACATGCCAGTGGATTGGGTGGCTGGAGTAGACTAAAACAGTCATATGATGAAGAAGAGGTGATCTTACCCATTTTGATTAGTCTTTATAAGGAAGAATAAAGTAAACGTAAGAAAAATTTCCTTTTGTAAAAGTAAAAGCCACATCTCTCTTCTGGATCCTTCAGGACTGGGGTTTGTTTGCTTCCTTTTCCGTTTTCTCTCTCCTCGATGCTCTGTGCCCTAGGTTGTTTTGTGGTCGTCCTGTCGTCCCTCGTGCCCCTCGGCCACCGCCCTGGCCCTTGCCGGCTGCCGATGGATGCACTCGGACATCTACAACCCTGCAACTTTGTACAGAGAAACACAATCAGCTCTTTCTGCATGTGCTGGTCAAATCCAAACCCAGAGAACAGAAGCGCTTTCGAAGAATGAACAAACATGTGAAATAGGATGTTTTGTGTAGATAAAGCATTCTTGTTACATACTGGTCAATTTGTGATATGTTTTAACTTATTGTCTGTGCTTATTTATGGAATTTGGTTTTCTTAATAAATGTTTGAGCTAATATAAAGCATATTATTTGACTTTTCCGGACAAGTTTATATCAAGTTAAATGTAAATGGTTAAAATAAAATCATTTTCAGTATGTGATATGGAGCATGATGGGTTTTGTTGTGACTGAATTTCAGGAGAGGGTCTCATGAGGGAGAGGGAGAGAGCTCGTCCTGTAGGCTCTCAATTCGAGCTCAACCGGGCCGTGGGATCCCGGAGTTTGGGGCTGTGAGCCCTCCAGCCGGCTGGGGTTCAGTTTCCGGGTCGCACGCCAGCCTAGGCAGCGCTCTCCCACACAGCGTCTGGTCGAGGAGGCCAGGCCTCGAATCACGCAGTGCGCAGGCCGGAAGTGAGGAGGCCGGGCGGTGAGGGCCTCAAGCGAGCTCGAGGCCTCGCGAGGCTTTGGGCCGCTCGAGGCCTCGCGAGGCTTTGGGCCGCCCGGGCGTAGGGAGCGGGAGATGGGCCCCAGGGCGCAGCTGCCGGGGGGCGCAGCTGCCGGCACTAAACGCAGGGCCCGAGAGTTGATAAGCTTTTCGTGTGAACGGTTTCCCCCGGGCAAAGGAGTGGAGGGCGACCCTGGGCTGGCTGCGTGCGTGTGATGGGAAGGCGGTAGGGGAGCGTAAGGACCATAGAGAAGGAAGCGTGGGAACCGGGAGCTCTGCCCTCCGGCGTCACCGAAAGTCCCGTCTGGCCCCAGGTACACAATGGATGTGAAAGGGCCGGGGTGGAGGGAGGTGGGGGGTGGGGGAAGGTAGTGATTTCCTTTCCTAGGCCCTAGGCCTCCCGGCCTTCTGAAGGGGGCTTCCGGGTCCCTTTGTGTCCTCAGGATCTAGGCTCGGCTTCCGGTACCCGGCACTCTGGACCTCCCATGCGGAGGGAGACTTCACATCTGAACAAGAGTGCCCTGGACGACCTGGCTTTGGGTGTGCCTCTCAGGTTTTGCCTCATGTGGCCACTCTCATTTTCTCCGGGTCCTTACTTGGTGCGAGCTAAGCTCGAATATAGCCACGTGCTCGGGGGACATACCCACACTAACTAGTAGTGAAAACTGCTGTTTCTTTGGTAGTCTGGGAGGGACGGTAGTGGGTGTGTTTTAAACTTGGAGGCAAATCAGTATCACAGGCTTTCTTTGGAAGGCTAATCAAAATCGATCTTGTGGTTTAAAATTTAAGGGTCATTATAGGCGTTGAGAGTGCACCCATTCCCATGGGAAGATTTCTCATTTGGTTGCCACTGAGTGTAAATCCTGAAAAGACCCTTGCCCTAGAATATAGTTTTGTACCACAGGGCTACATGTGAATTTTAGGAACTATTGTAATTGTTACTCAACTAAGAGCACAGTTGAATCTCCTCGAAGGCAAGGACAAAAAGTCATGATTTTTCTATGATAAAGAAAAATTATATCTTCATGTTACCTTAGGAATTAGAGGTAAAATTGGTGGGTAGGATTCACAGAATATTTCAATTCTACATTTTCTAAAGGGTATTTTTAATATAAGGTTAAAATATTAAAGAAGATAAAAACATGCTCATTTGGGATTTTATATAAAAATGGAACATTTCTATATTTTAGAATTCTAGAATTTAGCATAATAACCACATTTCTGAAATGTCTGTAGATGAAAAATACGTTTTCTTGTTTTTACATTTCATCATATTCTCTCTTAACATAGTGCTGTTGTTTTTTTTTTTTTTAAATTGAAATCGTAGCTACTGTAATCTCAAGTCACATTTAAGAGATCAGTACAAATTACAGATTGCTTTACCAGCGAGCATGGAAGGTTGTTTACAAGGATGCTAATTTTACAGCTTTTTTATGCAGCTATAAAGCATAACTTTATGATGTAGGAATGCAATAAAGGATGCTAAATGGAATCCTTAAAAATTGTATTTCTCAAAAGCAAGGGAAATCTTTCATTTGAAAAAAAAAATGGCCCAACTCAGAACACTGATGAGAAGTTACAAATCAACTGAAGTGATAGATGCTTTCAAATATACTTATATTTCATAATATAGTGGTTATTTATCAATATTATAATGAAAGTGTACAGTTTTTTCACTTGACCTAACTCTAGAATAGTATTTGTTTCTATAGCAATAGATTTCTGTGTTAAGAATCCTGAATATTTTAATGTCATATATGCTATTAGCATAAGGGAAGGCAACCTGGTCTAAATTGTTAAAGTTGACAGTTTAGAAAATGGTCATAAAAATGAGAGAATGAAAACCTTAATCATAAGCCTGAAAGATTTCTGCATTTTGAGGGAGGAAAAAGAGCCTAAAAACAAAATAATGCTTCTTATTATTTTTTACTCTTTATCACCAGCAATTGTGTCTCAAAACTGTTAAGTTATAATAATAATTACATTCAAAAGGGAATAAAGACAATAATGATGACTAATATTAGAACACAAGGTAGATAAGTACAACATGCTGGATGTCCTGCCTCTAATGAATTGTACTTTTTGCTGAGTTGCCTGTTTGGCATTGAATACCATCACCACATGCTGGCTAGAAAAAGTCAAAGTTTATCATGATGTTACTATGTGATTGATTTATTTGAATATACATATTCATCCTTGTGTATTTTTTTCCTCAAGATTGGTACTAAGTATATGTAGCATAACAAGATGGCCTAATAATGATGTTGCACTTAGTTTACCTTTTGCTGATGGTGGAAGATATAGGGTATAGGAATTCAACCTACTAAAGATGATGTTAGGTATTAAATACAAAATAGGATGTGGAGCAACTTGGGTAAATCAGGGTAGATGTAAATGGAGAATACAGATGAAATCCTAACATTGGAGCAATTTATGTTTGATGTCCTCAATGACTGCTTCTTGTAAAAATGAAAATGTTTTTAATTTCTGTTGTGGACTTTATATTTTAATTTTTAGGATAAAGAAAAAACTTAGCCCACAAAGAGGTGTCTTCTAGTAATGGCAGTAGTTAACCTGTCAGTTGAAAGAATGTAACCTTCCTTTTCTCCTTTTCATGAAGTAAAGGTAATCTCATCTGAGGGCATTTATGTGAACAAGTAACAGCATGGCATGGTGAAACTAGTGGCTCATTAATCGTGGCATCTACTTCCTACAGGGTTCCTTGATTAGTTAGATTCATTCATTGGGCATTTCGGAGTTTTTGATTTGTCACCATTGACTAGGCTCACTGAGTTCAGGCTAAATTGAGCCAGAAGCAATGTTTATTAGTAATTTTGTAGTACAGGCTACCCTAATAATTCAGCCCAAATATCTCATCTGAAAAATATCCATTCACCCTCGCTTCTAATGTGGGTTGCAGCTGTGTTCATAGGGAATTGAAAGAGCACAAGTGATTGGGCATGTATTTTCTAAATTATTAATATGATGGCTAATAGCTGTAAACCCATCCTCATATCCAATGCAGAAATTATGATTCATTTTAAAAATGAAAGCAGCAACAAAGGGGGGCACCCCCTGCCTGGCTTTTGGCTCTCATCAGTGCAGAGCTTTTGGTGCAGGAACCATGGCCTATTTAGCATGTGGTCATTACAGAGAAACAGAACAATGCCTTTCACTTTTCTTCTTGTGTGCTCTATCAAAATTAGGCATGCATTTATAAGACTTACTAGAAAATGCTTTTAAAGAATTTTAGGCATGAGCTACAAAGAGGCCCTCTCTTGATTTTTACAAAGTTGTAATCAGTCTTTAAGCAGGCATAATTAGTTGTTTGTGCAATTAAACTGCATCTTCTAGTCACATGATCAAATATTGCATATATCCAAGTTTCCATCTTTAAAGCCGAGTTGGATTTGAGATAGACTTGTTGCAGTTGCTCATGCTGCCACAGTGCCTTTTGGTTCTGAGCTGAAATAAATTCACAAGTACCAGGAATAGATAATTAACCCACATGACATATATAGTATATGTTCTTTATATCTTTCATCAAAATGTCATAGGGCTTTATATGCTTCTGCTCACAGTCATTATTGAATCTATTTAAGATAAACTCAAACAGGGTCAGATTAAGAACTCTAGAAACCCTTACTGAAAAGATTATATGTGATACTTAAGAAATTAAAAAGTAAAAATAGTAAAACACAAAACATAGGTATACTGACAGTAAAACAGGTTCTTTCTAGATTTTATAATTGCAAAATTCTGAGGGGGTTCAGTGAGGCTGAACTGGTTTCTCTTCTTGCTGTCCTTATATTATTAATTATCACATGCTTAGTCTGCCATTGGTACTCCAACGGAGTATTTCAGAAATAATATTTCAGATGGTGTTTATTACTTTTCCTCTAGTACCTTACATTTGAACCCTGTTTTTCAGTTTACAGAGCACACCATCTCTTTTTAATCATCATATCACCTTTATGAAGTAGATATTATAATCTTTATTTTGCAGATGAAGAAATTGAAACTCATAGAGACTAAATAACTTGCCCAAGGTCACATACCTAATAAGTGGCAGAGATCATTTTTTAAGTCAGGTCTTCAGATCTTTCAGCAATACCATTGTATATGTGACATGTAGATGTTGTTTTTATTCTTAAAATATTTTCAAGGAAGAAACTAAACCACTTTCTTTACTTAGAGGTTTAACAATCCATCTCTGTTATTTAAACAGGACTGATGATTTTTGACGGGACATGATAGCTGCACTAAAATTAAACATGGTTTCAAGAGTCTAGAAAGCACCTTTCCTCTTAAACTTTACCCTCTTTCTAGAAGTGAATTCAAGGTGGTTCTACCATGCCACTGAGAAGACTCTTTACTGTGTGAGGAGTGTTTGTCAATGGAGCTGTCTTTTTGTGGCATGAGCTTTGGGCTGATGTAACAAGAAACCTGGGAACCGGCCCTCAGAGTACTTTGGGGGGGGGTGTTGGCATTGTAAAGGGGAGGGGTTGGTTTGACTGTCCACAAGGGAGAGCATCCTTGAATCCCTTGGTGCTACAGATATGTTTCTTGTCTTTCCCTGTAAGATTTTATAGGGAGATCTTTTGATGTTGCTTAATATATTAAGTAGTCACAACTCAGGATAATCTGTTTTTCA